TGAGTGAAAACGAAGGAGCTGACAGAGAACGGGGTGGCCGATGCAGGTACTTCTTTGCTGCGACGAACTACTTCCTCTACGGCGAGAGCTTGATCTACTACTTCAAGCACATCCTCACCATGCAAGCCTCCTTCCTTCCGTCGACGTTCTCCTTCGCCCAGCATCACCGACTCATCTCGTTTGGTCTCTACGTTATCGGTTTGCCTGCTTTCTTGCTCTTTCGCCGGATAGCGTGCTGACGAGGCTGGCGCGGTAACACAGGCTTCGTCTCGTTCGTCGCGAACCTCCAGCGAGCGCAGCTGAGGCGCCAATTCGGACTGTTTGGATGGATCCACATGAGTCTTCTGTTGATCGTCGTCAGCAGTCACTTCATTGTCAACAACATCCTTGAGGTGCGCCATTGCTTCTCGCGGGCGTCAGAACAGAGCTGACGTGGACTGTTGTTGGGGGGTTTATAGGGTCTCATCTGGTTCTGGCAACCCGTCTCGCTCGTCATCATGAACGACATCGCTGCTTATGCGTGTGGTGAGTCTCTCAGATCCCACGTGTCCTTACTCCCCATCCTCCAAGCTGACACGACGAGAACGTTAGGCATGCTCTTTGGACGCCACCAGCTCATCAAGCTTTCGCCCAAGAAGACTGTCGAGGGCTTTGTCGGAGCGTTCTTCGTTACCATCATCTTTGCCGTTGTCGTGCGTTACTTTCCTTGCGCCTCTCGCCCTTCCCTCAACTGACACTCGGTTCCTCATTGCAACTCCAGTGGGGCACCTACTTCATGCGCTTCAACTACATGATCTGCCCCGTTCAAGACCTCGCCACGAACATCCTCAGCGACATGCAGTGCACCCCGAACCGTGTCTTCGTCTGGCGCTCGTTCCCCCTCCCCGAGTCGATCCAGTCCGCTCTTTACTCCGTCGTTCGTCCTTCTCTCCCCTCCCCCCTTCGTTCCCCCCACTAACCATGCATCATCTCTCACCAGACCGGCCGCAAGTTCGCCTCCATCCCCTGGGCGCCCTTCCAGCTCCACTCCATCGTCATGGCCATCTTTGCGTCCCTCGTCGCTCCCTTCGGAGGTTTCTTCGCTAGTGGATTCAAGCGCGCGTTCAACATCAAGGACTTTGGAGCGTCGATTCCTGGTCACGGTGGCATGACGGATCGCATGGACTGCCAGTTCTTGATGGGGTTGTTCTCTTATGTGTAAGTGCTAGTTGACTTTTCGGTTTCGGTCATAAAGGATTGCGAGCTGATTTATTCGAGGGTGAATGAACAGGTACTACGCTTCGCTCATCCGCGAGACGCACGTCACCGTCGGAACGGTCCTCCAGCTCGCCCTCACCTCGCTTTCGACGGAGGAGCAGCTCGAGCTCCTCCACGACCTCACCAAACTCCTTACCAACAAGGGAGTCTACGCCGCTACGACTCCTTATTGAGTCTAGCTAGGCAACGATGGGAGAGATCGAGGGCGCTCAACCATTCCTCTTTCGACACCCTTGCGAAACCATCCCCCCAAAATCTGCCCACTCCAGCGCACAGGAGCTTGTTCATTTTCTCGAGATACCAGTGTCTACTTTGCGTACACATCTTTTTTGGACATAGCAATGAAAGGAAAGAGTAATGTGGAGAGTGGAAATCTATAAGAGCTTTCAACAGTCAATATCGGCGTCGGGAAAGCTGGGCAGCCGTTTGAAGGAAATGAGAGAAGACTGCAACTTAGGGCTATCCAGCATGCTACAACTTACAGATGCAATTCAAACCATCTGGCATCTACTCAGAATCTCCTGCTCCCACTCCATCATCCCCTCCGCATCCCTCGTCGCCTCACCGCCATTCTTCTTCCGCTCCTCCAGTTCCTGGATCGCCTTCGCCAACAACGACCACTCCACGCAACCCCTCGAAAACACCTTCGGAATCACAGTCTCCTCATTCTTCTCCTCCTCGACCTTCGGTGCTTCTCCTTCCACTGCTGCTCCCTCAACCGCCTCACCCGACCCAGAAGCCTCAGCTACGACCTCACTCTTCACCGCCTCGTCGCTCGACTGCTCTGCCTTCTCCTCTTTCTCCGCGACGACGGGGATCCGCTCGGGGTTCAACGCGAACTCGCCCTGCCTTGTCCGGGTGAGCTTGACAACGTGGGCACTTGTGCCCAAGGCGACGCCAATGTCGTGCACGATCGAGCGCACGTAGGTGCCCGACGAGACGGTCATGCGGATTTCGAAGATTGGCGGACGCTTTGTTTCTGTTGAGTCGGAGGTTAGCTCGTTGCAATCGAGCGAAAACGTAGACTAGAAACCCACCTGTGGGTACCGGTGCCGACAAAGCCTCCTCCTTCGGTACCTCCGGCATCGTCACCGCTCCCTCCTTGACCATCCGCATCAACTTGACAAGCTCGATCTTCTCCTCCTCGTTCAGCTCCTCCTTTGGGTACTCGTAGGAGTGTTCGGTGCCGTCCTTGAGGTAGTGCAGCTCGAGCTCGTGAACCGTGACTTTGCGTGGTGGGATCGGGCGAGGCAGCGGGGTGTTGGTGCGCGCGTACTCGTGGAGCGCTTTGCCGTCCATCTTTAGTGCCGAGTAGCTGCAATCACCCAATACGACAAAGTATTAGTATGCTTCCTCTCTCGGCAGCCAACTAAACGAGCGCAGTTAAACTCACACTGGCGGGACCTGCATAATCTCTCCTCTGAGCGCCTTCAACGCCTCCTCGATCCTCTCCGCCGTCACAGGGTTCTCGCCATCCCAGTTGACATCCTTGTTGACGACTTTACCGTCCGTGTCGTAGCTGTCCGTTGAGCAGCCGAACAGCCCGATCGCGACGTACTCCTTTGTGCACTCGAGGAACTTTTGGAGGTGCTTCGTGCCGCCGTTGGTGCCCACCACTAGGATGGTTGTACGATCTTATCAGCTTCACCATCCTCTACCATATACCCTCCAACAGAAGAACCATGGACACACCGAGGACTCCATCAGCCAACGGGTCGAGCGTCCCTCCTTGCCCGAGCTTGACCCGCTCGTCCTGGTTGAATCTGCTCTTCTTGCCGTACTTCCCTTTCTTCCCACCTTTATCCTTGTTCGCACTCGGATCCTTGAACAGCGTCGACGAGGCAAGGAGCGGTTGCAACTGGTTCAGCACTGTTGACGCGCGCCCAGCACGCAAAAGATGAGCTTCCGCTCGTCGAGCGCTTCGGGAGCAAGTGGGAAGGCGAGGAGCAGATAGAATGAGAGCTCACGAGTCATGGAGAGGATTCCTGTTGGCTTGTTGATGGCGAACAGGCAGTTCAGTGGTCCGGCGGCGGCCTTCATCGTGCTTCGACGCTCGTGGTTTTCGAGGTGGGGAAAGTTTTCGCGACGTTGATGGGGGGAGGTGGGATGGAAATATAGACTGGAGGTGTGAGCACTTTTAATGTAAGTGCGAGATATGGTGGGCGAGAGGTAGAAACAGAGGCGGAGGAATGGCGAGCATGCCCACGAAGTCTGATTGTGGCCCAAGCGCGAGCGGCAAGCCTACGTGTCCTGATACGCCGCTTACCTTTCACGACGACAGATAGGCGCTTCTGAAATGGTGCAATAAAGTGCCCCGGAGCTGGAGCAAGTCGTTATTTGTCCCGGAAAACGGAACACACCACGTGTTTCCGGACCACTCGTCCGAAAAACATTCTCGACCCTTCCGAACGATGCTTAGTCCCTCAGAAGCCTTCCAAGCCAAGTTAGAAAGTGATCAATCTCTTTGAGCTATACTTGCTTTGTCACGACTGCTCTCAACTTGACCTCTTCTCACTGCCGACAGACTTTAGTGCTCGCCTTCAAGAGGCCCATTTTTCGTAACTTGCGAAGCACCATCCGACAACATTCTTCCATTAAGCGCTTCAGCACAAACAGCTGCACTCTGATTGGTGTCCGATTCGTCAGCACTCGAGATTGCATTGCATCGTCACGCCATCCCAGCACTGCAGCGCGTGCTGATAACCGCCCGACCAATCTCGTTCCGCCTTTTACGCCCTTTCTTCCTACGTCCCTCTCTCTAAATCTACTCTCAGCTATGTCGTTCCTCGCTCGCACCCCCTTCCGTCGACTCGCCGCACCTTTGGGTGGACAGCTCCGAACCGCGGGACCACGTTGCTCGACGAGAACGTTCGCCGCCGAGGCTCAGGCGCCGACGAAAGGTGTCAACTGGGCGGCTTACGCCGCTGGAGCTGCAGTCCTTGCATCTGGATCTGTGAGTAAACTTTAGAGGTCGGGAGAAGGAGAAGAAGAGGAGGAGCTGACCGGAGGGCCCTGTACTGAGCAGTACTACTACACGCAAGCATCGTCGCCGACCGGGCCTCGTGTTATTCACGCGAACGAGATCGCTGAGCATAAGAACATCGAAAGAGGGTTGTGGATCGTCATCGGAAGCGTGATTTACGACATCACCGAGTACCTTCATGAGCACGTATGTCCTTCTCCCTCTTTGGCCGTCCCGTGCCTCGGACACTAGCTGACGAAAGGGACGACACCGATGCAGCCCATCGGACCTAAAGCCTTGTTCCACCACGCCGGAGAGGACATCACTGCAGTTTTCAACAAGCTCCACAAGCCCGACTCGTTGGAACGTTTGTTGACAGAGGGGAAGGTCAAGAAAGTCGGCGTGGTGGACCCCGCTGCTCCTCCTCCAGAGCCAGCGCCGTGGTCGCCTCCGAAGAAAGTTTAAAAGGCTGTTGTAGCTTTTCTTGAATGATCAGAACGAAAGCAACATCTTTGAAGAGAGACAAATTCATACGGTAAGTTTGCATTGGGTCACCAAGAAAGGCACGTGTATGCCTTTAACCGCTGCTGGATCATCGTGGGGAGTTACGAAGAACTCTGGGACACACCCTCTTTGAATCTGAGGAAACCACACAAGTTCTTACGGACCAAAAGAAACCGCTTGAGCAAAGATGAGAGTGCCCTCTCGAGCGGCCTGTTTAGAAGGGAAACGGATCCGCTCATAAGCGGAGTAGAAGGGAGCAAAAAGGTTAACCCTACACTGCTCAGTGGCGGGATCGAACCGCCGACATCCAACTAAGCACCTGACGGTATTAGGTTGGCATCATAACCGACTAGATCAACCGAGCGGTAAAAGAAAGGAGAGAGTTATCGCTGCTCAGTGGCGGGATCGAACCGCCGACATCCAACTTAACAAGATATTAGGTTGGCATCATAACCGACTAGATCAACCGAGCTTGATTTAGGTGATGACGTGTCCAAAGTGGCGGACCCGGTCGGACGAGTGCTTTTCGAGAAAATTTAGTAGATGTCAAAAAAAAAAAAAAAAAAAAAAAAAAAAAACGGTCCCCGTTGGAGTGGTCGCATGAGCGGATAAAGTTCAGATTTACCAAGAGGACATTAAAGGTCAACGATCCACCCCGAATGGTAGTAAAAGTCGTACTGGACAACCGGTGAACTTTAAAGAACTACCGCTGGCTGCAAGCTGGCACACGGGCGATGATGAGAAGAGAAAGGAAGACAAAGACTTTGTTTCAAAACAATGTGATGCACATATGTGCAGGGTAGAGCTCGAAATGTTCAATGAGATGATCTGTACCATCCGATTAGCTCCACTTCTTAGAGATGGAGCCCGAGTGACACAAGCACTCACCATTCACTCCTTATCACGAGCGTCAGCGCCGGAGTAGTCTCCAGCAGGGGTGTACTCTCCCGAGTCGTCAACGATGTCCTCGTCGTCGTCGAGCTGACCGTCGTGGCTGGTCTGCTTGCCTCCCTTACTGCCGCCCTGCTTGCCGAGCTCGCGGGCACGCTCGCGGTCGCCTCCAAGGCCGTGCTCGGAACTGACGCGCTGTAGGAAGAGACAGAGACCTCAACAAGGGAAATCAAGAGGCAAAGGAAGCGAAGTGGAGCGTACCTTGTCGGGACTTCCGTCCTGCTTGAGTCCGTCGTGCTGGAGAACGCGAGAGAGCACGTCAGCCACGTCACTCGCATGGCGCAAGGATTGGGATATAAAGGGGAGAGAGCTCACCTCGGTAGGCTTGTAGGTCGACATAATGGAGTGCTGGAGGTGGTTTGTGTGTTGTGAGGGAGGTAGAGTGATTGGAATGGAAGTGGAGGGGTGTGAAGGAAAGAAAAAAGAGAGTCGCTCCAAGCACCGACTTTTATACACGTAAAAAGTGGTCCAAGCTCTCCAAAGAGCGTCAAATCCATCTTGACAAGTCAGCATCAACAAGTCCCGAGACCATGACAAGCAGTCATAGCGAGGATCGCGAGTAAGGTCAACAGGAACGGGAACAGCCTGAGGCCCAGCAGGTTGACGCGCCGGCGGGCAAGGCTGGCGTCGGTGAGTCGGCGCTAGACCTGGGGATCGGACGGCGGGCCAAGGACGGTCAAGCGGATTTAAACGTGCAAACGGTAGTAGTTATAGCAAGATGTCCATCTAGATCGCCCCATGGAACGTAAACTTGCGTGCTGATCTCGGTCAGGCGTTCGCCATCGCTTGTTGCGAACGTGGATGTATGGGATCATCGGCACCTGAATGGTCGTAGCTTGACGCTTTCTTCTGGCATTGCGAAAGGATGAACCAGTTCGTACCGCATGCCCGGACATCTGCAGTCCAAAAGTGACCCCGACTGAGCTTCGGATCGAAGCTACACGTGTTGAGCTGGCGTGTACCCCCGTTGGTTCTGACCGGTTCGGCTCGGAGTCCTCTAGAAGTCAAGCTGAGATTACAGAGTGCTATGATCTTGGACTGGTTTCAGAGTTTGGACTTCATCCATGACATTATGACAGGTCAATGCGCGACATTAACTCAGTATGGGGTAGCCGTGGTGTGCGGCGGCGGAGCACTATGTGGAGGCTTCATTGTGTAGAGCAAATCAGTTTGCCCGTATTTATGTTTTCTATATAGCAAGACTTGTCAATCCGCTTCTCAGTCACCCAACACGTGTCGCCGGGGGTCGCGACCCAACAAGCCGACGCGACGCGTGAGAGCCCTCCAGCTTTCTCGTCCCAAGTCGCGCGCGCCCGCCCTCGCTCTAGTCGGCACAAAACGTTCACGACGTCCAAAGTCGTGACGATGTCGCTGACGATGCCACCACTCTCGCCATCACGACACTCGAACGCCTCGCCATCACTCAACGCGCCGCCGCCGCCCGTCGCCGCACCCAAGAAGCGCATGGCCCTGGAGGAGGAGGACGCGTTCGCCGAGAGCTTGCTCGCGGAAGCGGAGCAGGAGGGGCTGGACGAGGAAGAGGACGAGATGGAGGCGATGCTCAAGCTCGAGATGGAGATGGAACTCGAGAAGGGCAGGCGAGGGCTGGATGGTGCGAGGGACGGGCCCGTCGCGTCGACCAGCAAGGGACGCGCGGGAGAAGGGATGCGCAAGGAGGTCGTGACGGTCAAGAAGAAGCTCGTGCTCGAGCTTGAGGATGGCATGGGCGACGAGGACGGCGAGGGCGCCACGATGGGTGAGTCTTGCTGCACTGCATCCCAGGGCGCGACGCTGTTGTTGTTGCGACGCGTTGGCTGATCGCGTTGGCTGTTCGAGCAGAAGTCGACGAACCGCCACCTCCACCGCGTATCACGACGTTCGAGATCACGCCAGTATCGGCTACTTCGTTCTCGGGGAGGAAGGTCACGTTCCGAAGGCGGAAAAAGCTCGATCAGTTTGAGGAGAGCGCGGCGGAGAAGGTGCGTCTTGTTCTCGCCATCGGGGAAGCAAAGCTTAGGAACATTGGGAAGGCGTGGTAGCTAACCTGGGGCATTGGTGGTACAGAGGGAGAACTCTTTGGCGTTGGCAAGGCTGAGCGCGTCGATGCTAGACGTCCCGTACCACAAGATGGTCGCTGAGCTGGAGAGGGACATGCTGATCAAGAAAAAGGCGCTCGAGGCCGACGCGTACGCTCTATTTCCATCTTGTGAAGAGTCTTTGAACAACACTAATCACTGTCGCTCTCGGGTTCAGAGCGAACCCCGCACTCGGGGCTTCAGATCACGTGGACGCGATGTTGTGGACTGACCGATACCGGCCAAAGAAATTCACGGATCTGCTGGGCGACGAGGTATAACATCATCTATCCACGTTCGGAGTCTATCAACTGACGCCTCTTTGCGTAGCGAATGCACCGACAAGCGCTGTTGTGGTTGAAGGAGTGGGACGAGTGCGTCTTCCGGGGGACAGACAAGACGACGGCTGCGGCAGAGCTCAAGAGGGAGAGAAGGAGGAAAAGGGCTAGAGACTTCAAAGGTGGCGACTCGGAAAAGGGTGAAGGCGTGAGTGACTCTCGTTCCTCCAGCCGAGCGCAACACGTTGCTAACTGCTTCATGCTGTAGACTGCTGATCACTGGGGTCGACCGCACGAAAAGGTTGGATGGCTCGATCTCTCGTTTTTCTGAACCGAGTCTCACTAACACCTTATGCCAGATCCTCCTCCTCAGCGGCCCACCAGGACTCGGAAAAACAACGCTCGCGCACGTCCTCGCCTCCCAAGCCGGGTACCGCGTCCACGAGGTCAACGCTTCCGACGACCGCACCGCCCCCGTCGTCGAACAGCGTATCAAGAACGCGCTGGAGAGTCAGGCGATCACGAGCAATGGCGGGTTGACGGGGAACAAGCCGACGTGTTTGGTTATTGATGAGATTGATGGCGCGAGTGGTGACTCGGTGCGTTGCTTGTTTTGTTGGAAAGATAGTGAAGAGGATGAGATCTGATCGATTTGCGTGGTTTCACAGGGATTCATCCACCGGCTCGTGAAACTTATTGAGGAGGGGAGCAAGTCGACGCCGGGGAAAGGTGAGTGGCGAGCGCTGACATTCCTTCCGGAAGATACTGACGTGGCTTCTTTCGACTCGCAGGCAAGGGCAAGGGAAAAGAAGCGAGACCCCTGCTTCGACCAATTATCTGCATCTGCAACAACCTGTGAGCACTTTCCCCCCCCCCCCCCCCCCCCCCCCCCCCCGGACTCTCCATCCCGCCGATCTCTGATCACCATCGTAACCAGCTACGCCGGTGTCCTCCGCCCGCTCCGACCCATCGCCAAGATTATTCGCTTCAACCCTCCTACCAACCTCATGCTCGTCAGCCGACTGCGAACGATTTGCGTGGACGAGCGGATGACCGTCGACTCGAAGAACTTGACCATGTTGGCTGAGACGGCTGAAGGTGATCTGCGGAACTGCTTGAACACGCTACAAGTTCGTGTTTTCCTCCGTCAAGACACGACTGTCCTTTCCCGACTGATCTTTTCGCAACCTCAGTTCATCAAGCGCAACGGAGCGACCGTCAGCAAGGAAGCGATCGCGGCGTCGATGGTCGGCAAGGACATGGGCACGTCTTCGAACGTCGTAGTGGAGCATTTCTTCAAAAAGCCGCTGGGGAAGAAGGGCAGTGCGGAGCAGGATGACAAGTGGCTCAACCGGATCGCGTGGGGTTTGTCGACGTGTGGAGAGTACGACAAGATCGCCCAAGGTGCCCATTTTCACTCCCTCTCCGCACTACCTGGAACACTTATCAATCTTTTTGCTTCTGAAAGGCTTCTTCGAGAACTACCTCGGATCGCGATCGATGACCGACAGCCTGCCCCGTATCAACGAGTCGCTCGACTGGATGTTCTTTTACGAGCGGCTGCAGAAGGCTCAGTATTCGGGAGAGTACGGGATGACGCCTTACTTCTCGTACTCGATGTCTGGATGGTATAAACTCTTCTCGACTTACGGCGGTCACCCTATGGAGAACAACCGAACGGACTATGAGGTGCGCTTTCGAGCCTTCTTGGACTGGACAGCGTGGCACGAGGAAGGGTGCTGACGACCGGCTTGTCTGGCAGACCTACCTCAAGAAGACAGCGCATGAAGAGATCACGAGCAAGTTCACTGAGAAACTGCCGATCGGAATCGCCTCGACGTTCTCAGGCCCTGCGATCATTCTCGAGCTGTTGCCGATGATCAACCGCATCATCGTTCCCGATATCAAGCCGGTGCGTACATTTCTTGCTCCCTACTTTACACCTATTGAAGAGACCTGATGCTTTTTCGGGAGACAGGTCAACACCCAGCTGATCAAGGCCGACGATCGAGCCGTGCTCACCAAACTCATCAACACGATGCTGTCGCTCAACCTGTCGT